CCCCCCCCCCCCCCCCCCCCCCCCCCCCCCCCATCCGGCACTGCACGCACAGGGCTCGATGGGGGTCGCACTCGCGCCGCCGGGTCTTCGTCCTCGTGCATCAAGGCTCGCGGGGAGAAGCTGCTCCCGGAAAGAAGCGAGGCGCCAACGGCCACGGGTGCCAATGGAGGGATCAAGGTCGTGTGTTTATTCATGGGCATCTGGAAGGCGCCGGTGCATTGGAGGTGCGCTTGGGCGCCACCGGGGGCCGGCGTGATCATGGCACGGCGTGCGCGACCGGGGCACGCCCCCGCCGGGCGCCCCCCTGGCCTGCTCCTGCCTGCCCTCCCCCACCTCGCGCTCTCTCTCTTTCTCTCTTTCTCTCTCTCCCCCTTCCTCGGCCCCATGCTGGCCCATGTCCCGGGTTGGTGTTTTTCCTTCTTTCTTTCTTTCTCGGCCGTCCGAGGGTTGCCACAGGATCGCCACAGGTGCAATGGGGAGAGGTGCTGGCCAATGCCGGGGCCCCGGGGTCCCGAGATCAAAGCCCCAGGACGCGGATCCACCTGAGGCATTGCTCCAACTCGGAGTTCAACTGGCGCTGGAAGAACCGGCGATCATACTCAATCGGGCCGTCCTCCGTGTCCTCGAAGGGGGGAACGGTGTCGGCCATTTCCAGGCGGCTGTGCAGGTCCTGCACATTGGAGATGATCCCCTCGCGCAGGGTCTGCGCCGCCAGCAGGGCCTCCCGGTGGGGGGCATTCTCCGGGCGCTGGAGAAGCTCCTCCCTGGTGGGGCCGCTCTGCAGCCAGCCGAATGTCAGCCGGGACAGCAGCCCCTGGCCGGCCATCTGCTCGGCAGCGAGATGCTCATCGGCCGCGACGGCCTGCGCGTGGACCTTGGCCACATACCGGTCGCCCACCTCGAAGAGCTCGCGGTTGCGCGTCTCCGAGCAGGACAGATAGGCCTTGATGTGGTGCGTGCATTCCATCTCCGTCTGCTCCTTGTTCAAGCAAGAGAGCATATTCCGCAGGGACATGGCGCTGGGTGGGAGGAGGGCAGAGGCACCGGCCGGGGCGGCGAGGGGAGGCGCGCGGGTCAGACACCATGGAGCACGACGATGGCATGGCGTGCGGATCACGCCTGACACGGGCGACGGCCGGGGCCGATGGAGGGCGCGCACCACAGGTTGACGGTTTCCGGAATCTCGGACGAGGGCATCCCCGGCGGCATGGCCGGCAGGGGAACATCCATCAGGGCGGTCTCCGTGTAACGGCGCCGATCGGAGGTGAAGACCATGGTGCGGGTGGCAAAGGAGAGCGCAGCGAGACAAGGGCACAGGAGGCGGGGGGGGGGGGGAAGGAGGGGGATATCAGCGTGGTGACACTCGGCGCCCGGTGCCGGTGTCATCGGGGCCCCATTTCGCTGGCTCCCCTCTCGCCTGCCGGTCCGGGCACACCGGGCCCGGCGGGGCACAGGCAAACACGCCGGCACACCCGCCCGCCGCGGCCGCCCGGGCGCCGGCTCCCTCGACAAGCCGGGGTCTGGGCAGTTGCCCGCCGCCCGACACAGGCGCCCACTCGCACTCAAGCACACACGCACACGCACACGCACACGCACGCACGGGTGGGTGATGATCGGGCCCGGCCATGCCCGGGCCCTCCCTGGCACGTGACGCTTGCCGCGCATTGCTAATCCCCGCCGGGGGGGTTATATAATTTCCTTGCGGAGCGAGGCCAGGAACCGGCGGCCCCCCCGGCCCGGGGTCCTGGGCGCCGCCACCGCGGCCGCCCTCGCCCCCTTGCTTCCTCCTGCTTCTGGCCACCGGGCCGCCAGATCTCCGTCCAATCTGCGTCCTGGCCGGGGGAGGGGGGGGGGGGGGGGCTCGGCCGCTGTCTAGTCACCCGCATCACATTCGGCGTGCCGAGGCCGGGACAAGGGGGGCCCGGCAAACGCGAAGGCTCTGTCATGACGCGCGGGGCCAGCCAACCGCACCACCCCCGGGGCCCAGCACGACCCTTGCCCGGCTCCCCCCTCGTGCGTGCCCCCCCCCCCGGTCCATTTGGGCTGGTGCGGCCCCGATGGCACCTGGGCCCGGCCCACAGCGCCCTCCCC